GTATTGTAAGAAGGGTACAAAGGTAGGAAGGGCTTCTTGGCAGATAATTGGTCTGAATTGTAATTTATTCTCTAGTTTTGACCATTTAAAAATGAGAAAAAAGACCACTGTTGCAACAGTTAAACACAGACTGTATCATCTGTATGGTAAAGGTCAAGCCTCACAGCATACACTAAATTTGCTATTGTAGTTAAATGTGTTCTGCTGTTAACAGAGCCTAAAGCCCATGGTGGTGCTTGTGCCCTGGGAATCCTTGCACTAAAACAGTGGCTGTCACTAAATAAGCTAATGACCTGCTGCCGCAGGACAGAAAAACAACCAGTCCTCCTAAACAGAAAGCTGATTACCATGAGGGCAGATTCACGATGTCACTGTTCTGGTGACAGAGACGTGTCCAAGAGAAAATAGACTGATACTAAGTTTAGCACAGAGAACGATAAGCAGTAAGGATTTAAAGAATGGAAAATTAGGTTTTAAAGTACAGTTCCTTCTCATTAGGGCCACATAGCTTCACGTTGCAGACAACAACCGGCAGGTTCTGGTTTAGACATGGGGGTCTGAGCGTAATGCTGCTGGTTATTGTTAACTGCCCCATCAAGAAAGGCATTTGTTTCAGCTCCACATGCAAACAGTGTACCAGGTGAGAAACCTTTGGGCATTGATGAAGAAGAAGAAAGGGAAAGGTGTACACATTCATGCAGGCACGTATGTATAAAGTATGTTTCTTCGAAGTTGGAATAATGTCTCTATTAACCAAGTAAATATGTCCAACAGGATTATGAATTTCTGTATGAAGTTGGTGTTTCCAATGTGTTTGGTCCTGGAACGCGGATTCCCAAAGCCGCCATTCAAGTACTTGATGATATTGAGAAGTGTTTGACAGAGAAGCAGCAATCTATATAACATCTGGATCTGTAGTTATGACCAAAGAAGATAGTAAAGCTATGTCTTCAGGTAATTCCAACATCTGTTGTTGTGCCTGTCTTGGCAGCCTTGCAGTAAAAGACCCTGATTATAAAATGCAGTCCTGCTAATACACATATTTAAAGAATATGAGCTTGAAAGTAAAAATCTCTAAATGGTATCTATACCAAATATTTTTAAATACATTATTTTGAAAATGAAAATGACATACTGCTAAGAAATAACTAGTAAAACAATTTCTTAAAAATAATTAAACTTTTATTTTGTTTTGATTTTTGAGGCAGGCTCTCACTATGTGTCCTTGGATATTCTGTAACTCACTAAGTAGACCAGGTTGGTCTTAAACTCGTAGAGATCTACCTGCCTATGCCTCCCAAGTGCTGGGATTAAAGGTTGTGCCAACATGCCTGGCAAAATTGAACTCTACATATAACAATTTGACTGATTCCTTCTGTCAATTTAGTGTTGATTTGGGTACTAGAAACTCGAGTTCTTGTGTTAATGAGTTAGCAAAATAATAACATTTATCTTGGAAAAGATAGTATAGGGTATTTTTGTATGGAAATAGATTGGGGTTATGATCCTCAGCCAGGTCTACCATTGCTTCAATAAAAGTATTGTGTCACACTCTGCACAGTGGAATAGGGGACAGACAGATACACTGTCTAGAATTGTTCAGTTCATTCTTAGCATGAGAATGTGATATTGTTAAAGTCAGGCCTGCCTCCAAACTCAGGAAAAGATGTTGTGAATGCTTTCTTAAATGAAGTGCTGATGGTCATATGGATTCTTCTAGAGTGCTGATTTAAGTCTGTTACATAAAATCAGCAAGCCTTCAGATAGAAACAGGCTGATTTGTATAGATCGTCTTATTAAAGATGAGTGACCTTAAATAATTTATTCTTTAAAGGACGAGAATAGTTCTTTATTAGCATAAGGCATTCAATGAAGGTGAAGTAAGAAATGAGGGTACTTCTGTAAATTTCTGTATTATAAATCAGATAGTAGGGTTTTGAAGGGCATAATCACATATTGCTGTGGAATTAGACTACTCTATAATGCAGTTTAATTTTCAGAACATGACTTGTAGAGGGCATCATGACTACTATTGTTCTCATTTCAGAGATGAGCACTTTGACTTCATGGTCAGCAATATATTCATTGTGTTATCTTATGTGCCTTTTATAAAGAAATATATATTCAATAAATATGTTATTCCTTTGTTGTGTTCCATTATGTGATTGGTAACTTGATATGTACCATGTTTTATATATTTATAATTCCTGACATTTCTCTTTGAAGATCACTTTGAGAAGAAGAGTCATCAAAAAGCTACTAGATTTTGTTTTTCTTGTGTTTTTTTGCCCAAATATCAAAGTAATAAAGTCAATAATCTCACTATTTTAAAATATTTCCTGAAGTATGCAGAAACACAATGCATAGGGTGGTAAATTTGGCCTTGCACTCGATTAAGTGTTTATCACTATTATGTGTAGAAAATGCCAGCATTTAAACATTTTACTGTTCATTTATTTCAGAACATTCCAAAGGAAATATTCTGTTTAATTTTTCTGTCTTTGCATAAAATTCTCTGTGTTTACCAATAGGCCCTTTGGAATTAGACGATGACCAGGTATACAGAGAAAGTGAATGTTCTATGGTCATCACATGTCACAAAACAGAAAAAAGTTAGGAAGGCATCTGCTGCCTTATGTCTTCCTAATGGGACTGAAATCAAAACAGAATGTTTTAGTGATATTATAAAGCACATTCAAAATACACTGCAACGAGGATTTACTTTACTGAGATGCCTGGGTCAAAGGTTAGTGTCTCCCCCAGCTGCTAAAATGTTCAGAGCCACATCTTAACCCGAGCATTCATCTTTTATCAAACGTTGGTTTTGTGAACCATAGGATGGGCCAAGGTGACAAAGTCATATACCATGTGGCATAGAACACAAATCTTTAAGTATGTTCAGATAAAGAATAAACAGATCAGTGAGAAGCAGTACACCCTTGCCCACACAGTGCGGAACTGCAGAGAGAAGAAAGCCTCCATTTCAGTTAGGGTATAATGAGAACAGTTACCAGGGAGAGGGATGTCTTTATGATTTAATATGAGGAATTTCCTCACACCACTGAACAGAACCTACAGAAGATTCCAAGGAGGCAGCTGCTCTCAGGCACAAACTGAGACAGGCTTTCTGAAGTAGGTGGTCGGGAGGGAAGATAAACGGGGTCTGGGGCAGCAGTTGCAGGTCCAGCACTGTTCTAGGCTATTCAGGAAAGGTATTGGGCCCCTTCAGAGAGCTCCTGAGTGGATCAGATGGGCCATTTAGGATCCCCTCTCATTTGATTAAAGCAACTGAATAAGAACTTGACTTATAAAGTTTCTTCTCAGTATCATTAAAGAGTCATTAAAGTATCATTAAAGAATGATTGATGTAGAGTGAGTGTGTGTGTGTGTGTGTGTGTGTGTGTGTGTGTGTCTGTGTCTGTGTCTGTCTGTCTCTCATTCATTCTGTGTACATGCATTCCACAGAACTGACTGTTATTATCTTTCTACTATAATCTCAGGTGACTAACTCTGGAAGCCACCTAACTAGAGAGACTGTATTAGCAGTTAGGGGATGGTTTTGAATTCCTGCATGGAGAAGGTCGTGAACCAGAGAGTCATAACCTGTCCATGTTTGGTATCCAACATGGCAGCCCCAAATATAGAAAATGTAGTGGCATTTCATTTATATTTTAATAAATAAAGCTTGCCTGAATATCAGAGAGTAAAACAGCCCCACTGGTCAGTAACACACACATTTAATCTCAGTAGCCATACTAGTTTGCCATAGAAACCAGGCAGTAGTGGTGCACACCTTTAATTCCAGACCTAGAGAGGATTATAAGACAGCAGGAGACAGCTCTCAGACACAGTCTCATTCTGAGATTCCTGGAGGCAGGATGGCTATTTTGGACTCAGGTAGAGGTAAGAGCCAGTGGCTGGTTGCTTTGTTTTTCGGATCTTCAGGTTGAACCCCAATTTCTCTTTTGAGTTTTTATTCTTGCTTCAAGAAACAAGTATGTATTTGGTGATAGAAAAACTGAGCCTGGATGCAAGCTCTTGCTCTGAAACCTCCAGTCTTCTACAGCCATGCTGTTTGTCTCTGGTCATGGGGCCTGAACTCTCTTCAAAGCCCTCATCCTGTTGTTGCTTCTCTGTCCATCCATAGTGTTAGTAATTTTCCTGAGTTATTAGTAGTGTATTCCTCAATAGTCCACCTAGATATTCTCTGGAAAAATCTGCCCCATCTAAAACCTAACAAGTTTATATGGCGATAATAGCCGTCATCAGCTAGAATATGCACAACCTTGCATTTTCTCACCAAGACAGAGATAATGAACATGCAACTGAGGTCAATTTTTCTTTTTGTAACTTTTAAATTTTGTTAGAATGAAGCAAGAATAGCTGTTGTACCCAGGCAGGACGCCAAAGACCATCAAGAGGCCAAAACCGATGCAAAAGCAAGGATATTCTCTCTCTCTCTCTCTCTCTCTCTCTCTCTCTCTCTCTCTCTCTCTCTCTCACCATCCTGCAGAACAAAGGCAAAATTGCAAGGACCTCGAGAGGGAAGTTGGGCCTTCTTTTAAGCCTCACCGAGGGGAGTGTCTAAGGAAGTTAGGTCATTTTAGATATGATTGGCATAAGGAAGTGGAGATCATATTAGTACGTCTTAATTGGCTAGGGCTAGTGAGGGATTAGTCAGGGCTGTAGTTTTTCATTTTGGGGCGGGCCTGGACAAGTCCCAGGTCCTGTCCTTGAGCTACTATAGAGACCGGCTCAGGCCTGGCCTAGTACTGCATATACCAGGCCTTCCCTTGTTGTTGGGGTGTTAGAGATGGATTGTCCTTTACTTGTGGCATTTTCTCAGAAACTGCTTGATCAATCTCAGGAGACTGAAATCAAGGCCTGATCTGAGAGAAGACTGAGCAGCCTGTTGCTGCATCTGTTCGGTTCTTTCAAGCTTTGTATATGTTAGTGGGGTATGGCGTGATGTTTTGTTAAATACATCATTGCTTCATGATTTTAACATTGTAATTAGTATATTCATCACCTTGAATTTCCCTTATTCCTTTAAGACAAAGAGGTACAGATCCTCTTTTGAATGTAGTTTTAAAGAGTAAACTTTATAGAAGTTGAGAGAAGAGGGCCTGTGCCAAGACTGAAGAGAGCTGAGGTACAGGGAAGTTGGTTAACCCGCGTAACATGGAGTTGGGATAGGGTGGATAAGTTGTGAGTTCTTGCAGCATCATTTTGGAGTGGAATTCCGAGGGTTTGAGTGTAATGTGTTTATTGATTCCGGCTGGGGGAGATTGAATTTTCCTCGTCCTGTTCAAACATCCTGGTTGTTGGTTTTCCTTTGCCTGTGCTTCCTTGCCTGGAATTTCAACCTTCATAGACAGTGAAATCTTCCTTGACATTTTCTCCGAGAAGTAACTCCTTTTCTGATACTGTACCCTGCGGGTCCTAGTCCTAGCTGCCTTGTCCACCTGAGCTCTGGTCTCATCTCCTTGTCTCAGTGAGACGGACACACTCTGCTTACGTTTAATTTCCTATACAGTGTGAGTAGAAAACTCTCCAAGCAGTAGAATGGCCCAAACAAACACATAACAGCGATGGCAAAACTAAACATTATACAAACATGACGTTGGGTGCTTACCTTCTACCATTTAAATAAAATGTAACCCAAACTGGACCAAATATAAAAATAATAGCTAACAAGAGACTGAACTTGACAGTAATCTGTTGAATGTGATATCAAAAGCACAGGCAATATCAGGGGGAAAGTACAATGTTTTGACATCAGAACAATTAAAAATTTGTTTATTTCTGTCCTGACCCAGTAGTTTTTCACTAGGGAGTTGTTCAGTGTCCATGAGTTTGTGGATGTTTCTGTTGTTTTGAAATCTACTTTTAATCTATGGTGGTCTGATAGAAAATGGGGTATTTAAATTTTCTTGTGTCTATTGGGACTTCCTGGGAGGCTCTTGTCTAAGGGGAGGTGGGAGTTGAATGTGGAGGACAGGGGAGGTGGGACCGTGGGAGAGAGGGGAAATGGCAGTCGGAATGTAATATACGAGAGAAGAATAAAAATAAAAAATTAAAAATGTATGCCTCAAAGTACATTCTCTACACAAGAAGCTTGGAGCTTGCTCAGTGAAAGAATTACGGGAGTAGTGTGTTTTTATAAGTGTCTGATCTGCAGAATATATGAATAGTTTCCAGCCCAAGGTCAAAGCAAAAGCATAAATATTCCAGTTGTAGGCAACGGGGGTGGAGTGGATAGAAGGTGCTGAGGTTATAAAGACACTTGTTGCTCCCGCAGAGGGTCTGGATTCTGTTCCCAGCACCGCGTGGCCACTCACAACTCTAACTCCAGTTCCAGGGATTGTGACTCCTCCTCTTCTGGCCTCTGCAGCAGCAGTGTGCATATGGCACACATTCGTATATGCAGGCAATACATATACATATGAAAGAAAAAAATCTAGAAAATAAAAAGTGGACAGAATTTGACAGGGATTAGAGATGGGGTGTGGGTCTGGTTTGGGTTGGGAAGAGTAGGGATGAATGTCATCAAAATACAGTGCTTGTATTCCATTCTCAACTCATGAAATTCTTTTTTTAAAAAAAAACTGGGCAAAAGACTTAAACAGACATTTCTCCAAGTCAATCCTGTAGCTGTCCAAAGCACAGGAGAAGATATTCACCATCACCACTTCCTAGTCTTTAAATGTAAATCAGTACCAAGTGGCATTTCATTTCCCCCTGTAAGAATGTCTGTTGCCTAGTCTAAAAGTTGTGGGGGAAATAGGCACCTTGTTCATTGCCTGTAGAAACTTACTGTGGTTCATCTATTGTGGAGAAGAGTTTAAGTCCTGCAGCCAACTAAACATGATTGCACTTGTAGGTGTGTAGGTTTGCTTTTGTTTTTAAATGTTTTAAAAAGGTGAGCACAGGAAATCAAGCATATTTGTGCAACAGTTGTCTTGTACTGACTGTCACCTCAGTCTGTATTTTGAATACTGAAATATGATAGTGTTTGTAGGTTCTGTAAGGAAATCACTGCCCAGTTTTCATGATGGAATGCATGACTTGATAAGAGGAGACCACAGACCCTGGTCCCTGACCCCACTACAGTAAGAAGGTGGGAACTATCTTCCACATGCCACTTGACAGAGCCTGGC